GACCCTGCCCGTGAGCAATCTCCCAACTCATCTGTGTCTCCCAATTCATCTCTGTTTCTATTCGAAACTTTTTTTCGTGCGTAGTAGCGCCATCTATGAAATTTTCTTGAGACCTTGTCGTCAGTTAAAATATCGATTTCAGCACGTTATTTTAGCGTATTGCAAGAGAATCGAGACATTTGATTTATTGATATTTATTATGTTATTGATTCTATGAATTGTTAACAGAAAACGAAGAAAAGGATGGCATTATTCGCTAATATTCGCCATGTAAGTGAAATGAGTCTTAGAAGCAACTACATGACATAACCTCAGAATCGTGTATCTAATGTAATGTATTATTTTACACCCAGATGTTGCTCTGCGTGGAAAGAGTAGGAGTGCAAAGGCATTTACATGTTACTTCAGTTGTAAATAAAACACAAGCTGGTCGTCACAGACCTTCGCTAAGAAGAAACAAACCACTGACTTATGAAATGGCGTACGCACCGCATGATATAGCTCACAGAAAATCATGGAACTCGTGGAATACGTGTATGCATTTCATTTAAATACTTATTTATTTTATATCGATTATAATGTAAATATAGCAGTTTTTGTATCGTAGCTACTTTGAAGACGTAGTTATCAATCTTGTATAAATGTATCACTTATTTTCCTTTTTCCATGAATGTATAATGGAATGTTTCATTGTAGCAAATGTAACCGATGGAAATCGAGTGCCAGAAACAACAATAGAAGATGTATTTATTCGTCGATTCATGGAAGGAACATGGCACAATGTGTTTTTATGTGACATCATTATTAAACGTCAGCACAACATAATCAGGATTGCTGGAATTATAAAGCAAACACTGAACCCCCAGAAAATGTATTTTCTAATAGGATATAGTGAGGAACTTTTAAGCTACTGGTTACAGTGCCCTATAAAATTAGAATTACAATCCGTGGCGAATCCAAAGGATGTCATTTACAAATATATTTAAATAGTGTATTAGGAAAAAGAAATTATAGTATTAAAATCATGAACAGCAAGATCAAACTTTCTGACGAAAATATTAAAGAGTGAGTGAATGAACTCTAGCAATGTTATATCATTCAATTAGAACTGCAACATTTATTTTATTTCTTTTCTCTCACTTACCTTCAAGAAATTACATTTTGTCAAAAGGTATGTACTATGAAGATATCCTGTTAATTGTGCTGAACGAAGTCCATAAAATAATGAAATACAACGACAAGATTATTTGAATGTTTCATTTATTTTGCATTATTTCAATAAATCGTTACATTCGATCATGATTCGAACGCAGCCCATATACAATCATTGCATTTTTAATAAAAAATAAAATATGTCACCCTAAAATGAACATTGAAACAAGTAGGGATATATCCGAGTGCAGAATGACAGATCATTAAATTATGACGGTTTTATGCTTGGTTTACTAGTCAAACTCTCTCCTTTTTGTATGTCCTTACAACTCGTGCCTTCCAGTGTCCAATCAGGCCTTGCAATGTCGCCTATTTGTACTGTTCTCAATGTTGCAATTTCGTGAGGAAAAAACGTTAAAATATAATTCAGGACATAGTACTCAAGATTTTATGAAAATTATTTCAAATATTTCACACGTACTGAATTATTATGTTACCAAATTTTATTCACTAATTTATATGCAAAATAATATATCAACAANTTCTTTTTTAATTGATAGAATAAATGCCAAGAACCATTTTAAGTGAAATGTCTCAAGTGATACAATTCTCTTGAATAATTTTACTCATCAGTTGTTGATGGTTAAAGTCAAGGTGTACACGCAAGACCCGATTGAACCGACAGGTTTACAACAGAAAATGGGTTTCGTGTGTTGAAATAGAGAACGCAAGATGTAAGATAGAGAGATGTGTTAACTGCATAACGTTTGCTGCACAGAGTCGTGCATTAATTGCACTGTACATCGCAGAGTACCCCAGATGGGTTAAGAGTGGCGAAGACCTAAAGATGACATAGACGCGTATCATACACATATGTCTCGTATAATGGTCCAAGACGTTCCGAGGAAATTGACATACTTTGTAAATCCTCCTACATCATTATAATTTGTATCATTGTTTAGGATAACGTTCTTAAAGGTGGTCGCGCCTTAGGTCTTCGTCACATATACTCCGTCATATTAACAACTAGGACAATTACTAGGCTAATAAACCTCGTCCTTATGAGTCAGTTAACACACCCACTCGATCTACCTCTCAGAGAGGACGCAAGATGTCTTTTTTTTTTCCATTGCCTACAATTTAACGCCCAGCCTTTACAAAACGTCAGGCTGACTTAATGTGCTGTGCTCGTTTTATTGTAGCGTAGTACAATTTCATTCTTAGCCATGGAAGTCAAGTATCGACGGAACGACGCGATACCACGCATATATCCCGACCAGATTAACATTAATCATTAATACCCCGATTCGAGCCAGATTGGAAAATCTCAGCCGTGACTCGAGGATACATATATAAATATGAATCGGTGACAAGTCCGATATGTCACGACGAATCCAGGACAGATCGGCCGTTTCGAAGTTCGGGCTGACAAAAAAGACAAAGGACATAGGCGGCACTGCGCATTACGTCGTCTTAATAATTTATCAATTATCGTTATCAGGGCCCGGAAAAACTAGCGCAATTTCGAGCCGCCACGTGGCTGGCCATGGGTGATGACGTCTCGTGCATATCCATTAATCAGAAATAGCAAGGCCTACGACTAAGAAAAAGTGCCTACATTAATCCGTGAATTAATGAAATATTTCAAATTGAAGGTGTGCTTCATTCGGGATGTCATTTACTCCGTCCACCGTGTAGGTACATGAAATTCCTCACGGTGGTCACTCTTCCCCCGAAAGGGAAGGTAAGATGAATAATTCAAGTTGAAGGCGAAAAACAAAAAGACTCTTGTTTGTATTGAATTAATGCAATCGATTTGCCTTATACATTATCTAGTGCCTTTCCCTCTTAGGGACGTCACTGCTCAGTGGTCAATCATGCGGCGACTCGACTTTTTCAGGCTCTAATTATTAGTTATAATCTTATAGACTATACAATACGTCCAGGATAACTGGATCGAAGGATGTACACAGGCATCAAATCGATCATGTACGACATCATCGATTTGGGTTACAGATAATAATGTACTAAACGTCCCTGGTGTACGCAGCAATCGCACAGGACTGAGACGATCGATATAACCGCTCGATTAGTTAAAGTAAAAATATCTACCTAATATTATGTAAAACTAGTGTTTAACCACATCCATGCAGTTACAACTCAGGCAGCCCGGGAAAGGCCAAAGTAAATGTACACTGCCGGGATAATACATGTTCGAGAATTCACATACATACAAAGCAGTCTGATTACACGAGTCGGTAGTTTGTAGAGAAATTAAACAAGGATGTATGAACCGTTATATCGACATCGGGGCTAAATCCTTCGATCTTAATCGGTAAAGGATCCTGTGGTTTTCTTTTTGGAAAGCTTGAGGAAAATGCGTTTAAATATATTTACGTATTGCGTGACAGTGGTTGCTTAGAGTTTGCACGACTCATTAATTTGTGGTCAAGTGTCCTCTTCTTAAATGCATTGATGAACAACTTCCAAATAAGTATTTCAACTTATTTCACTGACTGTAATGTTAATTCTAAGGTCCATTAATCCAGTAAATGAGGAAAACAAAGTTACGTGGAAAACCTGAGAACCTGATTAATTTTTTATGGATAACTATACACGTTTGTACGCTTTTGTGTGATGATACAGACACGGGACCGCGGATCGTACAATTCGTTTGGTGTTCGTCAAACTTTCCAGGAAAATGATTCACCATTGTTAAGGCATTGCTAGGGCGTATGTTAAAAAAAAAAAAAAAAAGAACAAAAACAAAAGAAACGCGTCATTTTCTTTCCGCTTATGTAAAAATTATTATATCCTTAGAAACGACAGATTCTTACATACTGTTCATTTCGCTGACATTCCATCCGAGTTTAACGTTCTGTAGAAAGATCATCGGGTTAATTATGAACGTTGTTACAATTTCCCCGATTAACTTTCTTACAGAATGTTCACACAATCGGTCTATTCAATATTTCCAGCAGTTTTGTTCGATGAAATTACTATTACATTTACGACGCATTAGTCAACTGCTTATTAAAATATAAAATGCATAGTGGCTCACCCGAATCGGTATTAAATGTAGGATGACAGTAGTTTTCGGTTAACGATAGAGTCATAATATTAAATCGTTGGTAATTGACAGAAATAACGGATAAGTAAGTTACCGCATCGATCGTTTTCAGGACTTACGAGTGAATACAATGAACATATGAAATAAAACCAGTAATTATACTTATCATAAGGATGAATTTCGCGTTGCCGAAACAAAGCCACAGCACTCTTCGCATGTAATGAACGTAATCACGATCGATTAATGATTCCTTTGCGTATTTTAATCCGACATAATGAGTGAAAAGTACAACACCCTACACGTAACATCGACGAGGCCATTAGGCGAAGTGACATCTTAGCATTACGATTTCCTTGGTAACCACTGACAACATGCTATCCAAATCATAGTGTAATAAATTCGCATTGTCGCATCTCGACGAATATCCCTAAATCCCGAAAATGTCAGAACTAGTCTGGAATACTACGACGCGGGCTTAATTCAAGCCAAAAATGCACGACAGCGCATTTTGCTGTCAAATTACGCATTCACACAATGCGACTGTCTTGCGATTAACTATAATTACAATTGTGAACGTTTTTATTCTCTTACACATTCCCATTAGGACGATTCCTCCTCCAGCACACGCGACAGTGATTTTGCAATTTATCAGGAAACAGTCGTCTTCCAAGACCATAATACCCGGCTTGCTATTTCCATTTCGAACAAACAGCTACCAGACGTCCTAAAGACAAACGTTTGTTAAAATACCTACGTTTGAACATTCGAAATATCTCCGTCGATTTGCCTTGCCAGATCTCATAGGTACACTGGGAGACATCAATGCCCGTCCATCCTGCACAAGCGATGCCGTATCTGCAGAGGAGACATTCATGTCCGCCAATACCCATCACTTCTACTTTATGTCTCACTCGCTTTACACTTTTTTTGTTTCCTTTAAAGGAAACAATATTTCATTGAAATACAAACTAGGAGAAATTTCTTAGATGTCGTTAAAGTACACTCAAATATTTTTTAGCACAACTATTTCGTTTTCTTAATTAAATAAATTCTGGAAACGAGTGAGAAGATTTAAACCTGCCGTGAAGAGGCTCATTTGTACAAACTTTCCTGCTCCTGTTATCACTTCGTCAATTTTCCTATGGTACTTATTGTAACCAGATATTCAAATGCAAAAGACATAGGTATTTTTCGCAGCATTGCAAGTGGCCCTAAATTTAGTTAGAACGTTTGCACGGGGTAAAGTGATGTCATGAATTAGCAACAAAAAGAGAGGTAACATCTAAAGGAGAAATTTTGTTAGATTCTAACGTGACCGCAGGTAAAGAGAAGTGTCGAATTACTGACTCATAAGGTTTGCTTCCTTGGCCGAGCTCAAGGAAACACACCATGGTGAGCATTAAGTCGTCTTAACACCGATTAACGAAACGCGTGATGTGTCGCGTTAAATTAGGCCCAAGATCAGTGGCGAGCTGTAAAAACTCTAGTGCAGCTAGTCGAGGGGTCGTCGAATTACAGCATGAAAGTGTTCTCGACGTCATTATGAATGTACAAATACGGAACTCTAAGCCTAGCTTGGTTCATTAACACTATACTGTAATTACCTACTTTATACAACATTTACTACACTTATGCCACGGATAAGCTTATCCTTTACTACTTGTTTCATTCAGTTGATCGTTGATGGATTCTTTCAAAGCCATGCCGCTCCAAGATATCGTAACAACACTATTTGCAATTTCAAATAATCATAATTTGTTGCCTCGACGATGTGTAAAAAAATGTTCCCTACAAAACTAGTTCGATACAGTATACTGAACAGTTTTCATTTGAATGTTTTTTCTTTATATTACATATCACTAGGTTTAAAAATCATGTTTATCTGAAATTGCAGACATGCAGGGTACTGTTACGACGTTCCGAGTCATCGTAGCAATTTTAATGGCCTGTTATGTATCTGCATCCGTTTGAATGATATATTTGATCATTTGGCATTTGAAGAAGGGAACAACACTTTATAGAGATTAAGTTGTAAGGTGGTGAAAGAGTCAGCTTATTAATGATTTCGTTAACTATGCGTTGTAAATGGGGGTATTTATTATTTCATTTAAGTGTATTGTTTCGTGACTTGAGAAGATTATGTACAGCCTTAAGTTGGCTTCCCGCCAAAAGTCGAATTATTATGCTGTTTCTTTACGAAGATTTCACATTTAATTCAGATAACGAGAGCGAAGACCGTTAACGTTTTATAGACAAGAACAAGAATCGCGTATTTGTATTTATTCTACTAGTTTGGAAAGTAGATCAGAGGATCGTTTAATTTTCGGACAATTCATTTCAAGGAAACTAATCTTAGTGAATTATATCATTATACACTGTGCAATAGCGGTGGCAGATACTTTGAGGGTCTCATAAGTGAATTAAAAAACATTTTGTATATAAATCCAGCAGAAATCAGATTAGTGAACAAAAATTGATGATTTGGAAGAATAAATCACGGGTGATCAACAAATTGTTGGGAAGTCTCTCAATGAGCTATCGCAATGTTACAGACGAGTATGATTGGAGTCACCAGAAAATCGATGATATAGGGATCAAAGCATCGATTAAATAAAAATGATAATATATTTATATACACGTTAAGTTCAAAATCAATCGAATATTCAGTTTAAAAAAAAATAAAAAAGTTACAAAAAAAAGGTGAAAATTAATAATGGTATGAATGATAAAGATCAAAATATAATTGTGCATGATAATCAAATCACGCATGAATGCTTATTTATGTCGACAAAATTTTAAAAAGTACTCGTGAAATGTTATACAATTACAGTCAGTTTTGATACAAACAAAACTGTAGATTTCTAAAACATAAACGCGGAAAAGAAATGGCGACCCTATGTCATCGATTGACTAAAAATATTTGTATAATCCGAAATAATAATGTATATATGGAGTCTACCTTAATTCTACATTATGCCGATAGAGAGTTACGTTATAGAGAATATGCACGGCATATATTGAACGAGACCGATATAAATATTAACGAAATTATACGAAGCGAAATTAACTTCCCAATATCGGAATTTCCTATTTCCTTCTCTGATATCGACTGTGGGGAGTTTAGAAAATCCAAAAATTAAACCCATCTGCCTATCTCCCGTACTGATTAGCAATAAGTTAATTAACAACTAAATTCAGTTGTTAATTTATACATTTCCCCCGTTATTGTGAATTGTGGAATTTTAATTCCTTTAATTTATTTCATTATTATAACGCTGAATAATGATACCTATTTCATTTTACACGTTGCCTCTGGGTGAACCAATTTATACTTTACATATTAATTAGTCAGTCATAAAGAATATAAATATTCAGGGCAGCATTTTGCGAAAACAGAGATACTTTCTTTGTAAGGTCGAACGGTTAAGTTCCGTTTCAATAAAATTTTGATATTTATCATTGTAACCTGAATCGTATAAAAATCGTAGTTTCCATATAATTCGTCAAATTGTGGATCATTGTTGCTTAATTCTTTTAGAAATATTGAACGATACGTGATCATATTTTTAGGAGATTAACTCTTTATCATTATTTCAGCAAGTCTTTTTAATCTAACTTGTTATTCCAGGTGCATTGATCGTGATAAAATGTTTGCTTTTACATTACATAAAATAACAAAGATGGACGAATCCACCGAATCTGTTAGAAAATGCCAAAAATTACATTATCCGGTCGTTTCAATCTTTAATCACATGATCACTGAGAAGGAGCCGCATGTCATTTCTATAGTTAGTATATTAATAAATTAAAGAGTAACCAAAAGTTGCTGAAGGTGGGACATTTGGGCAACTGAATTAACAAGTAGCAGATCGGTGCGGTATACGTCAATAAATGGAACCGAACTACCGCATGAATATAATAATATTAAAAATGAATGACAATCGAACGTTTCACGATACGCTATGATACGTGAACCATCGTTACATTACAGTACTTACAAATACACTCGCTACAATATCATAACTATCACCTTATATAACATTATCATTATCAATATACGTGGCCAATAAGAACAGATTTGTACTTGCATTGAAATTGTTAAGTCAACTCCAATCACTTCGCACAGCCCAGTATAGCGTGTAGGTTTTCGCGTATTTTGTAATTGATTTTTTTTTCTTCTCTTTAAAAATACAATTTTCTCAATGGATGGCAGCATTCTTATCAAAAAGTTGGTATGGAGAATGTTGTAATGACATTTAGGAAGAGATCGGGGCTTTCTCTAGTAGACACTAATTTGTTAGTAAATATGTGAAATTGTTCCAATTGTTAATGTCGATATCACAGAGGCTTGATCGGAATATCTTCTTCTTTTTTTTCTCTCTTTTGTAGGAAAATAGGTATCTACATATTACGATGATAATTAGATGTTACGATATTCTTAACATGGGAGAGTTACACGTCTTAAAAATGCAATACACTATACATGGGCTAAACGCATTACAACACGGCTCCCTTCACCTGGTCGTTAGAATTATTCATCAATGTTTGTCAGTTGGTTGAATGTGTGCGGCAATGTGTGGAGTATTGTAATTATTCACTACTAGAGCAATAATCGACTGCGAGTAGTATTGCTAGAGCCAGAATGTAAGAGAAGGAGTGATGGGGCTTTCGTTATCGTTATCATTAATTAATCCCTTACTGTAACTTGGGCCTAGATCGCAGCGGCTGCTACCTTCGTGAGATCAAACCGTTACTCGTCCCTACCGTCGGTGTCATTTCCAGTTCCACTAACAGAGGAAAATGGTCTGAAAAAGTAAATGCTCATTGAAGTTACCTTCCCACCGTGCGGCAAAATTACCCTTATCAAAGCCATTTACATACCGGAAGGTACATGGGGATGAGGACAACCGACCACTTTGTGTTCTCTGAACCAGTCCGGGCTCAATGGGCCCAGGAGTCCCAGTGGTACCATGCTTTGTTTCGAGTAGAAAATGTAATCTATTATCCCTTTAAAATCAAACCTGGAATCAAAAGGCAGGATATGATCGCTTACTCCTCTACTCTCCAACTAATGGCTTATTCTTTCGTTTCGAGTGCAAGCATCTTGTACTCGATTAATTGCGAGAAGTAGGGCCGCTACTTACGTGTAGTTCGTGTAAGGCATGATGTCTTCGCTGTAGGCAGATGCGAGTTTGAAGGAGTGCGTAAACTCATTCGACTTGTCGCAGCCAGAGATCTTTTGCAGGGAAGATTTGTAAACCAAATCCTTAAAATCGCGGTGGTCGGAAGCCACTCGTCCGGATGTGAGAAATTCGATCACTCCTGTTAAGAGAATCCAATGATAAATCATTATTACAGGTGCTTCTATAAGAACTCTTTGGTCGTTCGAACGGGAAGAATTAAAATTACCAGAGTCAGGTAAGGAGTTGAAGTCACCACAAAGAAGCAGTTGCACGTTGGAAGAGTCAGGCTTATGGCCAGGCCTAAAGGACTGGCCAGCTTGGTCCAGAATGGAACGCAACTCATTGCTTAACATCATTGTTTGAATAAGCTTTACATCACAGAATTCAGGATCCCAGTGGATGTGCGCTGTGCAAACTAAAATAGGTTGTTGAACTTGTGCCGGATCAGATGGGAGGCCTAGAAGGGGCAAAAACATTCATCCAATTATTCACTTTGAATTAATTAACATTCAGATTGGCTTACAGTTTGTACAGATTTCTTCTCATTTGTTGGCTCTATTGATAAATATGTACAATTGGGATTTTATAAATGTTATATTTTACTCAATTTATTTACAAGCCTTATCAAATAATTTAACAATGATGGATTAAGTCTTGAAACGCACATATATTGTTTATATCGTGTGCATTAATATTAGATGGAAGGTCTTATCATATGCAATAACAAAAGATTGACTTACTGTAGAGGGACATCATTTTCAATTTAAAGTTTGCCAATAATCACGCATATTACCCTACATTATACAATTTGCAAATTTATATAATTACATGTATTTACATTATTATGCGTTATCACGATTGCATGACCGATGCGTAGTTAGATTCATAAAAAAAAGTAGAGGTTCTTACACGTTATAAACTTATTATCAAATAACTTGAAATTGTATCTTCCCACTGTTTTTAATGACAATGTACATGCTAGAAATTCATGGACATATTATTGGCACATACAAAGCAACCATCCTCTTTTAAAATGAATAAAAGTGCCCATGCTATTTAACGATTACTAATCCGAATCAGAATATGACTATTAAAGTGAATACACCGTACAGAAGAAGACAAGGATACGCAATAAGAAGACGTTGTTTTTCTTCTCCTGACATAGCAGAAAATAATCTAGATGCTGACAAAGTCGCCCAACCTACCGCAACGGATGCAAGAAGCAAGCCTATTGGTCCACGAAGGGTAGTAAAAATACTGAGTCCAGCAAGAGCAACGACCGGTAATAAACAATAACCAAGAACAGAAGCAACCGATGCTATAGTAATATTCCCTGTACTCGACATTAAAGTCTGTAAAATATACATCATTATACACGACGTGACAGCAAGACCGTAAACATATCCAAAGTGTGCTTTGGAACCCGCCAAAAGTAAAAATGCAGCAAGGGCCAAACAGAATGCCACCGGCCCAGCCAAATCAGAATCCTGAAGAAGATAGTTTGCATCATCGATCTGCCCTCGTCTATGGAACGGATTTAAGACAGCAAGAATTTTTTGAAGAATTCTATCAGGATCGATTCCAAGTTCTTCAAGTAACGGTGGTTCGTCCTCCTCTTCTCCAAAAGCAGCAGGATCTACAAAAGGATAAGTTTTTCTGTAATTCTAGGCATTCTGTCATTTTAACGCCATACATATCCTACTTTTAAACTCACTATTCTATTAAATTAATAACAGGATTATACTAAAATTACAAGAGATTGAAATATGTGTACGATCCTAATCCATGCAGGACGTTCGTTGTCATATGAATACAATGAATATTTTCAAGCTTACCTTTGCCATAATTATCCAGATTATACACGTCATTTGGATAGGCGTGTTGCGTAGGATCTAAGTAACTTTTCGGTGCATATTGAGAATAATCTCCACCTTGCTGTTCACCATAATTTTGGAATTCAAATTGTTGGTTAGGTTGACCGAAGCCTGCCGCGTCGAAATTATACTGACTCTGCGAGGACTGTGCCCAGTAATCTTCTTGCCCCGCGTAACCGGCCATTACTCCACTCGAGATATAAATGCTTTTCCTAAGGTTAAACCCGAGGAATTGCTCAAAATCACTCGATCTCTCTGACAACAAAGCAGGACAAACATACAATAGGGGTTAAGTTCCGCGAACGCCGCAACGTCGCCGCTTCTTCACCGCTACCGGGTTCCGGTAACGCTTAGTAGATGGCGCCACGTAAGAATTTCAAATTGCGCGCCCTTCGAAGCGCGCCGTAGGCCGGAGTCCCGCTGATGTGTCAAGTGTCATATAAAACGTGACACAAAAACATATCATAGATAAAAATCAATATAGTTTCACTTAATCTCATGCATCACAATCTCTTCGTTAAAAAGTTCCGACCAGTTCTTCATCCTCGACGCGTTTACGCGCCGCGTTTAGTGGGACCCCTGTCGCAAACTAAATGAGTAGCTGCAGAAATGGAGATTTACGTCCGCTAATAAGGCAGCAGGATCGAAGGGGTTAATATACCGCCGAGAAAAAAAAACGATAAGTACTCGAGAGAGTTCTTAATGGGTGCCGTTTAATCGATTATTTGTCCAATTGAAGTGAGCCGAGTGGAGAAGAAGTCTCGGAAGCGTAATAGAAGTAAATTGACCCAAAGGTCCGGCAATGTGGACTTTCGTCGGTCCCTTGGATGCGTCAAGCTTGAGCCGTTCAATTTCATGTTTTTCTGCAAAAGCAATTAAGTCTTGCGGGCGCATCGCGCACCGTCAGCGAGAAAACGACGATAGTACAACGAGCTCTGGGCTCCGAGTTGAGCGATTCAAAGAATTATTACCTATCTCGTGCTTTTTCAACGACCATTGATTTCCCCTTAATTGAATGTACCGGTCTACGACCAATCGTTACGGCGTCTTTCAATTACTTCCATCACGACGTAAAATGGAAACTTATAAAATCCTGTCGACTTTAACTTCCTTTCTTTACGCCAAGAAACGCAATATATTCTAAACATACGTAAAGGGCAAAGATAAAGGTATGGTCATTCATTAAATGCACAGCCACGTTGGCCCTGGGATGATTTTTTGATCATTATTACGATAATATGGAAGTGAAATAAAAATACCGCAATGGAGGTGGCACGAGGAAATGTAAATGTGATATTTACGAAATTTGATAATATCATCGGGAAGGATTTTGAGCCCATAGGTACGGTTTAGTTTCCTTTTTCATATTTTAGTGGGACGATATTGGCCATTAACTACGCTTATTGCATTCACAGAACGCTGAAAGGTTTCTAAGTAGAAAAGATGCTTTTTTTACCCTCCATTCCTTCTAAATCTCTCGTGGGGATATAAGACGGTAAAGAAATTCGAAGGAAATAGGAGAGAGAGGGCCGCAAACAGGAGGTGGCCTGAATTGACTCAGAAAATTATTCATCGGACCACCAAAGGTTCCCTTCACGGAAAAGTTGCTTTGACCGAGCCCGATTTATTTAAACAGATCCACTTATATTTACTTCCTACAAATTGGATAAGGCGAACCCCTCCCGCCTCTCTATCTCTCTCTCCCTTTTCTACTTTCGGTTCCGCTCGACAAGATTTTATACCGCCGACCCCGAGAATGTCTTTCGACGACCTCTCATTATTTTAAAAAGGTAAATCTTTTCTTCCCTATTTCTATATTATCTTTAAACCAATGAAAATACTCAAAACCTTGCCTTTTATTCCCGGAAGTGCGCTTTTACTCGAAACGCCAACAATTCACCGAATCGCAATTTAAATCCTACTTTTTCCCAGAAATGAAACATTTCGAGAGAATCAGCGCGTCGTTGGATTTATCGAACCGGAAAATAACGCAGAATTCCCCGTAAAGCTGCATCTTCCGTTTTCATTTCCCGTTTCTAAAATGATGCCTGAAACACACGTTCGATTATTGCCCGCTATTTATTTTTTGCGTAGCTTCGTTTACGTTTGTTGTACCGACCTCAGGTATGTACTTTATTTTTCAGCGGCGACATATGCCGAAAGGAGGCGATGCACCTGTTCGTCTAACGAATCCCTCAGGCTAGATCTTCAGGAAAGATCTCTAACGAGCTTCCTGGACCTCTAGGCTAGCCTTTCAACCCTTGAATCTCTGCAACCGGTTATCAAGGCGAACTCGAGCTTGAATTCAAACCTGACACTAAACCAAGCACGATAAAAGACAAACGGCGTTTCGATAACGTGTAATGTTAAAAAAAATATATTGAAATTTTATATAATTTTTGTTACAAGTTTTATTCAGACGTGGCATTGCTAATTTTGTAACATTTCCATTATAATACACTTCTGAGACGTGAATTATATATTTTTCACAGCGCAGTCGATAGGCAGAACATCGCGTTTTCTCTGAACTGGGTGTAAGGAATTGTTTCAAAATTTTCAATGTGAATATAAACTCTATACGGAAGATTCCGACCCTTGTGGAATTTAAATTTCTTAAAAATTCCAAGGTATTCCTAAAATTCTTTATGAAACACGAAATATTATGAGGGTCATAATCTTCCTTATAGTCTCGATATCCACATTATAAAATTTAAAGCGATTCGATGCACTCAGTTCGAAGTAAAGTTTCATGAACGATTGACCCTTCGGATGCCACTTCCACATCCCCTTAAGAGAGCCAGTCACTTCCGATTAGGACCGGTGGTTAAAACCCGGAGGGACGTCGAGTTCCGCGCGGCAGATGAATCGATCGATCGCTCGAAATCTCCGAAGGATGAGCCGAGAGTCATTTTCAGATTTTTCGCACTCGAGACCGGCAGGTTGCTCGGGGGCGCCACCTGCCAGGTCGGCGCGTTCCGGACCCCTCAACGTGGCCAACCATAAATTCTATAGCAGTCAAAGTGTCGAGTCTAATAATATCGGGCTGTCGACCGTGAAAGCCTTACGGCCACTCCCTTGGCCTGCCGACCCGAACCCATTGGTCGCGATATTCGAAGCTGGATTCCCCTCGACTCGGTCGAGGCGTCCTCCTCTTTACCCGATGACCAAGCAGGGGTCCGAGGGAGAAAAATCGTTACAGGGGAGTTACATTGTCCAGGTTGGAAAAAACCGGGGCCAGAGGCAACCCTAACTTCCGGCCACACCCCTGCGCATATTTACCTTATTCCCCTTGAAACGTTTTGACACAAATATGTGTCTATAATTATGAAAGTGGTCTGTTAAAATTGAAAAAAAATGAGTTTATCAGTTATTTCACGCCACATTATTTCAAACTAAATTAATTCAATGTAATTTCGAAACAGAAAATACATGACTTAGACCACTTTCATAATTATGGGCACATATGTCTTACGACTGCGGGTCAGTCCAAAATTTGCGTCACATTGTCTCGTAACGCGTTCTTTGTCACACCTATCGACGGCGATTTCCTCCTACCGATCGCACCGAAACCTCACCCGGGAAAATCAAAACGAATTTGTCTCGTATACACAATCTGAATCGCGTATACGTACAATATTGAGAAATATACGCGTTAATGACAAAATCAGTTCCAATGAGTACTTCGATACGACGTTGGATTCGAGTGGATTTTCCGAAAGCAATTGGATTTATTAAGAAAATTCATGTTCTTGCACATTTTCACGTTCATAGAGCACTTCGTCCTCGTAGATTCTTTCCCTCGTGGGAAGTCAGGAGATCGTGTGGATTGTGCGTGGGCTAGAGACGGCATAACACATGTTCATGATCCCACGTCTTTCTCACGAGGGAAATAGTGTTCGATGATCGTGAAAACTTACAACGATCTAAATTTTTCTCTAATCGCTTAATCGATATCTAGCGATGAAGTAGGATTCCCCAGGTGTCGGGGAGTAGATTTCGAGAAGAAGAATTGAACCGTGGGGCGATAAATAGAGAACGAGGGAGAAAAATGTCGATTCGACGGATCGCGAGGAGATATCGGGTTGCAGGAGGAGTGATCCAATTTTGATCGCATCGCCGATGCGATCTAGAGTCGTTTATCCATCCAGGCGATTACAAACCACGCGTAGGATTAACTGTACCGTGCGATTTATCTGGCTGAAACGAAAAGAGGCGGAGAGGAAACCATGAGCGCCGTCCATTGCTGGGTTACGTCTGTCCGAGTATCTTTGACCTCTCCCTCGTATAGCCGACGTGTTAGACTAATTAAAAAATGTCCGGCAGGTATCCGGCCGGCGGATGGGCAGATAGACGCAAACCCGTCCAATGCGAGCGGGAGGATATTTCGGATTCCATCCGCGATCCCCTTGTCGACCCCGCCCTCGAAAAATGCCCCTCGAACTAGACATCGCCCCTCTTCCGGGAGAGCGGACGCCAGGGGAGGCATCGAGATTCCGCTCTCGTCCTGCCGCCGAGATTAATCGCACCAAAGGCGATTCGACTCGCACCAAAGGCGATTCGACTCGCACCCGGCCAATCAAAGGCCAGGAAAGCCGATAACGCCTAAGGGAGCGCCAACGAAAACTCCCTCGAAACAGCTTCCCTTGAAATTTCAGGGCGACACTTGGGCGCTCCCCTGTCTCCATTTTTTCGATGACACCCGAAGACCGACGATAACCAACGGAAGGGTTGCTCCGACGCCACCCTCGTTAAAACATGCTCGAAAAACCCTCTTTCGAGCGTTCCAAAATTTAACGCTTAATTCCCTCTTTGCAGGGTTTTCAAGCTGAGGATGAAAATTGCAAGCGACTGGGCTAATGCCAGAGTGGAATGGAGTTTGCTGGGCAGGAACGGCTTCGTTAAAAAGTCTCCCCTGGGGGATTACTCGAAGTGGGGAATTTCTGCGACTCTCTTCGACCACGAGACGCGAGAGGAAGTGTGGAGAAAGAGCCGGAACGTGTCGATAAGCCTTAAACATGGCCGAGATTTACATTTCGAGGCGGATGCCCCTGCGGCCTGAACCGGCGTGTAATGGCGGCCGATCGGGCTACTCGCTCGTATTTCAATCGGCTTTATTAATCGCGCTCCCCATAGGCGTCGCGACGCCGAAGGAGGTCCAGGTCGGATTTATCACGGCCCCCTCTGCGGCCCTTCTGGCCCTATCTTTCCGGCGCCTCGCTCCACGGCCGATGAACGCATCCTCATCCATTACGGCAGATTGCGCGTTAATTGGCTCGGATTACAGAAACGCGTATTCCGAGGCTCGTTAAGCATCTCGCGGTGCGAAGCGATTATATCCGCGAGGAAACTCGCGGAGCGTCCCGACGCGTCCATGCCACTTTCCCTTCGAATGGTCAGCGTCGTAACGAGCGGAGGAGGACGAGGGCTCATTTCTCATGGAAAATAACGATCCACCCCGAGGCGGTGGCAGCCCCGCCGAGAGGAACACAGGGAAAGGTGTACGGCCTTCCTCTTCCTACGTTCCCTCTATTTGCCCTCCATGCACCTCTCGATTAAGAACGTCGACACCGTGATTTTGCTCGGGGAAGGCTCTCCCGATTGGTCCAGAGGATCAAATCGAAAGCACTGACTCTGTAACGCCATGTATGCGTGACAGTGGAATGGGGCAATGTATCGTGAAAGCATAAAAAATGGCGAAAATGTTAACTAAGTAATAGGAACGAACGAATCTCGATTGCGCAGCCTTTCGCGCCTCCCTGAGTCCTGGGGACGCGGTAGAAAGTATGCTTTCTAATTAGAAATGTGGACATTTTTAGCTCTACTTTGAAAGTGTGAGCTGAGTAAGTCCTCTTTTGGTCATATTTTATTGTTTATGTGGTACTTTCGACTTTGTGCGTCCTAAGTAATGGGCATTAAGTCTTCTATTTTGGGTGTACGTGTAGAAGACATGGAAATATTTGTCGGTTTTAAGGTCTAAAGTAGGACTTCGTTTGTGTGGAAGTTAATATTTTTTTTATATTATCCCGAATCCTATTTAAGGGCTACGATAAGAAATTTTGAGTAGATTCGGAATTTCGACTGGGGCACTCTGATGGGTTTTGCGATAATATAAAGAAGGGTAACTTGTATGCAATCGAGGTTTTACTTTAGACCTTCAAAGTCTCAGATAGTTCCATTTCCTTTTCTTCTACACGTAGACCTAGTGTGGAACATAATTTGTATTAACAAGTACGTGGAAAGTCGAAAGTAAGACTTAATTGGACAAGTCGGTGCGATAATTTCTTGAGCGAGTCCCAGCCCACCTTGGAAATTTTCACGTACACGAAATAATGCAAACCCAAAATAGTGGAATTTTTTCTCTGCGTTAAATATACATTTACAAGAGACGTTGATTTACGCATTAAGTTTTCAATGCATTTACCTCGTAGAGAGGAAACATGTGCTTTGATGTAACGATTTAACGTTATTTGAAATTTTGGTAAACGATTGTCGATCATCGGAAGTCTCGCGGGAAAAGTCGACGATTGGAGAGATCGCTGCGACAATTTGCCAATTTTCTCTGGCGGTTGTCAGGAGGTCCTAAGTCGCCGCTGACTCCTTAGAAAGTAAGGAAGCTCCCGAAGCGCTCTCGGGTAAGGGAAGCTCGCGACCAGGTGGAAGGCAACAAAGGTGGGAACTTATCGAGAGCCGCTTAACGATTCTCAGCGTTACTCTCGTTATGCCCGTCCCCGTCTTCCTCTCGGCTCGTCGAAGGGCCTCCCTCTCCGTCTCGCGCTTTGTCTCGAGATAAAAGTCCCTTTGTTCCGGGACAAGAGGCGCGGCACGGCGAGCGGCGAATCCGAACAGTTAGCGGCCAACAACTAGTTTAATGAGCGCCGAGAGAACGGCTTAGTCGCGATTTGACTCGTCCATTCGCCGTTATGCTACTCGCCGGTGAAAGCCGACGATAAATAGACGGAGTCCGCCGGGAAGGAGGGAGAGGAGAGGGCCATTTATCCCGCGAATCGCGCGGATAGCGCGAATCGCCCGACCGGAGACGCTGGCCTCTTCGCGGGCATTACACGCTCGATTGGTCTCGATTTCCGAGACCGAGAGTAGTCGATACTCACCGTTATCCCAGGCTGCTTCTTTCGTCCGCAACAAAGCGGCCAGTCCGATGTTGTCTTTTGGCATCACCCTGTTCAGCATATTGTCAGAGCCTTCCGCGTTCGCCATCGCCAGCTGATTGAATTCCACCAGGTGTTCCTTGATCAGCGTGAACCTGCGACCAGAGGCATCGATTATCGACCATTGGACTCGTGTCCCCCTTACTTTTTAAACGCGGACGAATTTCTACAAAATGCAGAAATTATTACGAAAGAACATTTACGAAAATTGGGCAGTTTCACTTTCTATGGGCTTTAATGTGCGAAAACTTACGCGTATTACCGCGTCATGAGAAGTTTCACTTCGATTATGCTCTGGGTAAGAGGGAGACGGGGAAATGCTCCGAAGGAATTTGTAGAAGAGGTTTTCTTAGTCTCACTTTTTCGTTTTTTATTAGACGCAGGATTATGTAGGGGGAAATTGCATCGATCTTTAAGTAGTTCCCGGGTGCGGCTATTTCTTCGGTAATTCCTGGCACTTTTCGTAAAGAGCGGTCTTGCCGCAACTCAGGATAAGAGACGCGCGCTTATCCGGGAATAGGATTTTCGCCGGAAAACGGGCCGGGAAAGCATCACGTGCCGCGCGTGTAGCTTTTCCATCGATGTGCGGCACGTAAGGCGGAAATATATCCCTTTCGGAATCGCGATTACGGGCCATCGTCTGGTTTACATTCCAAGGACAAGGTACATACAAAGTACCGCGCGTTTTACCTCGCGCAGGGATTTTTCATTCCGCCTCCAGGGCACTTATCGCCAATCGCGGATGCGGCGGGTCCTTACAAATAAATTGCCCCCAAAGGACCATAAAAAACCGATCGCATTCGACGAAACCCATTTTTAAAATTCGTTTAAAAGCAGCATTAAAAGCATTTTATCAAGTGTTCTGGGAAAAAGAAAGCTCACCTGTTTAAGTTTTATCAGGAAATAATTTCCCTCCCTCGTGAAAGCGAAAGTTCTCAGCAGAACGCGCTTTTAACGTTTTCCTTCTTTTGCGGAATTTCATCCCACCGAAACCTCGACAAAGGATTAGAATAATTTGCATCCCACTTTCGCGAGGACGCGAAAGGAGCGCCTCGTGGATTCATATCGCCGGGAAACGCGTCGCTCTCTCACCGAGCTTGCTCGTGACACTCGACATCCATGTTGGGAAATGCATTTTCCCGGGAATCGCCATTACGGGTCGTAATCTTTCTTGCATCCCGGCCGGCTGGAAGTCGCCCGCGACTCGTACGAGTCTAAAGACCGTGTCACGGCAAGACCCTCGAGAAAATTGAATCCACCCCGAGTATCTTTCCCGCGAATTTCCCGGGCACGTGGGTGGGTCTCGATTAAAGCGAAACGTCCCCGCAGACCCGAGCTTTCCCTTCGGCGAGCTTTTATGGAAAGGAAACCTCGTTTCGCGGTATCGTGCTTTTCGCGAGCACGCGATTATCTGCAAACACCGGCACATATATCAGCGACGTTAAGAATATCCGAGGATTCGCGGATATCATTACCCGTCGAGGGTTTTGCGAATTCTTGCGCACGTACATGGAATACACGTCCTGGATACAATGGATGTCTTAGATCCCCTTAAACAGCCGACATAGATCTCGTTTCACGTATCGGAGAATTTTAAGGTAAAATGAAACCCGCCACGAAGCAGTCGATTTGAATAAAACACTTTCTTTTTAAGGGTACTACCTGAAATTCCAGCACATGGCTCGCGAGAAGAAGGAAAGTCCTGACATTCTCAAAATTATATTTAATGTAAAAATTTCGTTGTCTTAGTTTCAACCAACACTGGAATGGCGTTGCACTTCCACATTTTGATCAGAAATTTTTTAAGGCTTTAAGGTGTGAAGCAAAAGTATCAGAGCCGTAACGCAACAATTAAGAACACTTTAGTAATCTAGAATCGCACGATTGAACGCGATAAAGGTAAATTAGGTGTCTTGGGAATTTACCAAGCTAAGGTAGGGTAATGTATATGGTGTACGAGGCGTGGAGGAGAAAACAAAATAACTAAAAATTGAGTAGATGGCTTTATAGTACCAAAAGTCCGCCTAGAATGCCAAAAATCATTTTTCCAAGGAATTTCTTGAATTTTAACTTCAATCTCAGTATTCTTATTTTGCATGTTCTGGCAGTATAAATATGAACGTCGGTAACGTGGCGCGTCCTTTCAGTATGTCTCTTAGAAGAATACTTATACACATCCTGTAAGTGCGTAATGGACATTGTAGGTACTCTGGCCCAATATTATTATTAATATTAATATTAACTGGCCCAGTTCCGAGACGGAAACTGCGACAGATTCGCATGTACCCTGTCCACCTCCGCTGATCCATAGTAACTAGGACAGATCTCAAATAGTATTCTCCTGCCATTCATAAAGCGGCTCGAAATCCGCGAGGAATAACCGCTCAGCGGATTTATTCAATTTCCGACGAGCCAGTGAATTCGGCCCAGTTATTTGTAAATCTCTAATTCGCTGGCGGGAAAATTATTCCCAGGTCGCACCTCGCTGGCACTGCGTTATTTATCACGTGTATTATTATCGTGTCGCGGACTAATCATAACACATGTAATCCATTGGTTATTACAATATCCCTGGATATCGCGTCCGGTTGGAGGCACCAAATATCGAATTCAGTGCGCTTCCCCATCGCGACATAGAATAGGGCAAATTGCATTGAACGTCGATAAACTGAATCGCCCGACGATAACTGAGACATTATATTCTGCGAGCGCGGTTCCATACACTTTAACTTAACAATTTGGGAAAATGGAATTCGCCCTGCGCGCTTCCAGAGCTCTGTTAGTTTCAAATCCTAAGATATGGACGATTTCTCTTGAGCGAGTCCCAGACCACCTTGGAAATTCTCATGTACACGAAATAATCATCCAAACCCTACAAACCCAAAATAGTGGAATTTCTTCTCCGCGTTAAATATACATTTACAAGAAACGACTTTACGCGTTAAATTTTCGATGCGCTTTTATCCCGTAGAGAAGAAACGTGTACTTTGACGTAACGATTTAACGTCATTTCAACATATAATAAACGATAATGAACGATTATTTTACGTACAGACTAGGTTTAAACGACGTTCACGTTGCACGACTGAACCGATAGTTCAAGATACGTAGAATAGACGTTACATCGACGGTCGCCGTGGAAAGGGCGGACATGGGAGCGGGTAAAACTCGTTTCTTTTGCAACATATTTTGTACGATTATTGTCAATGGTTTTATACCATCTCCCAACGTGTATTCCACTACTTTGCGTTTATAGGGAATATACAGAAGTTGGGATTGAGGGCTACCGAAAGCAGGTCGAGCGTATCAGCATCCCCGGATAACGCGATAGGGCGGCTCGGTGTGGGAGATCGAGACTCGCGTCAAAGACAAGTAAAATCGCGAGCAAATCGCGGGCGAATCGCGTCGGCCCCTCGCAAATCAAACCCCACGAGCTAACGGCACGGGCCTCGTAAAAGTCTAATCCGCGAAACCGTCGTAAAAGCGGCCTAGCCGCGCCTCTCGCGTCTCATTTCAGATTATATCTATGCGCGCCCTTTACATCCCTCGCTCCTCGTAATGTCTCGGAAATTACCATTGCACGACGTCTGATCGCGTCGTTCCTATCCACCTTATGCCGGCGTCGTCTTAACGGGCACCTTTAGCGACGCCTTTAGCGTCGCCTTTAGCGTCGGACCCGGCCAACTCGCCGGTAGCGTCGACCGAGAAAACTCCCACTTATGCAAACTTTCATGCCCGAGCCGCGGATAATTACTCGGTAAATCACCGTCCACCTAGGTGCTTTTCATAACTAACGCGGAGTCGGTTCATCGGACGTCCGTCGAGGAGCTTTCTCGCCGTAACTCTCCCTCGAGAGGGCGAGTCGTCTCCATCTGGGCTTCTCGAGAGGGGACCGAAAACGTGCCGAAGCGGGGCTGTACCCGCTCATTCCGACGAAATTCTGACAGATTTATGGTAGAACCATTTCTCGAAAATCCGCGGATAAAGGAAATGCAACCCCCTGGAACGTAAGTCCTCCCGTCGAAAGGACTCTGAGCAACTCGTCACGTTCCGGTACCTCGGAGTCAACGCCCCGCCAGTTACAGTTTTATTATTTATTTTATTACAAGAATTGTATTAGAGTAACCAAATCACCGAGATCTCGTTTGAGTATACTCGTAAAGGCAGACCGAACTGTCTTGACAATCGCAGTTTGCTCGTGACTCGGATTAAGCTCGCGAAAATCCATTCAAATCGACCAGCGGTCTTATCGTTACACCGAGAAAAGAATTGGATTAAACCAGAGAGATATTTCTTTGGATATCCAAAGAAACCTTTGACAAGTTCAAGGAGTAGTTATTTAGCTCAAATAAACTGGAATAAATTGGATGGAACATTTATACGGAATCATAATATGAGAATTTACTCGAGTCAGATAATTATTCTTTGAATTAACAAAATATTTCCTTGCCACCGTTCAATATTTCTTTCGTTCAGTGAATTCTTTTTCTCGGGGTATGATCAGCGAAACTGAAGACGGGGAAACATTGAGACCGATCTTAACCGGAAGTGGCTAGGAGGTGCAGCCGCGAAAGAATGGACAAGTTCGATGGCATGGCCGTCGGCACGGCGCGCGCCATTAAGCGTGTCGTTATTTATGGAGGCGGATTAAAAGACTGGCGAATCGATAATAGCCTCCGTAGAGATTGGCCTCTAAAGAACTCAACGCTCTCGGTCCCGTGGGCCGAACCGACGCACCGGCGTGGCAGCAAGTCAAGCGCAGAAACTGAGGCCATTTGTGCGCCAAGCCATTTCTGTCTCGTATCTTGTTATCCGCTGAGATGCGAGCGCCGATATCTAATATTTCCGCGACTCGCCCCTTAGGTCCGGACGAGTTCTCGCGCCTTAAAGCGTCCGGAATGGATCTCTAGGTCGACATAAATCCGCCGCCGGTACGGTCGAGGAGATGGCCAAGGAGATGGCCAAGGAGATGACCGCGGATGGCCGCGCCGGGCGCGGCAAGATCGCCGGATGAAAAAGCGAAAACCAGCGACGCGGCTCGGCGATTCGCCTGCAAGGAGCTTCGCTAGTATCAATTAGAATCCGCCAAACGGAA